TCAGTGCTGCTGTTATATGGTATTTTATTTGTCAGCAAAATGGCTTTGGACAGGAGAAAGACAAAACCAGGAACTATTTTTTCAACTTTTTTTTTTACGCTTTTGTTGTTTTGTCGCAATTGCTACCTGAATATATTATTAATAATATATTATATAATATTATGCAATTAGTATTTAAAGGTATAGTACTATTTTATTCCGTTGTTCGGTTTTGATTTGGTTCTGTTATTTTTGAGTTTTTAAAAACTATGGTCATTCTATTTTTTTCCTATTTATATCTGATTTTTATTAATGATAACATATTCATTTTAAATGTTTAATTTTTTAAAAAGTTTAGATTATTTTTAAAATATAACATGCATTCTATATTGAATTTGACTCTATTACAAATCTTTAATATCCTGTCACCAATGGATTTACTTTTCTTTATCCTGGTCTTGTCCTAAACGAAACTTTTGATAATTTTAAATATATTAGTGTGTAACTATGTATAATCCTTTTAGAATTTTTTGGGTCATCCATAAACTCAAATTACAAAAAATGAAAAACCGCCCATGTGATGAAAAGGAGATATCTGGATGGATTATAGACTATTTTATTTTGGAAGGGCTAATTACATTGGATAAATCACAATAAAGATTAGTCAGGATAATCAATTAAGTACCTCAATTGTGTTTAATATTTTGCCTAATTCTGGCCAAACTAGTCACATCCGTACAATTAATGCTACACTGTATTTCACACAGTCTCCATAATTATTTTTCCCGTTGCTTTGGTCCCTCTGAGAGAATCAGAAGGTTCGAACAAGAGTTAGAAGTAACCGATCTCCGACGACGAACACACAGAAACTGAAAAAAAAAGGTGCAAAATAATAATAATTCAATTCAAAGCTTGCTTCGATTCGTCTGTTACTACAAATTTGCTTTCCTTCTCCAGCAGATTCATTTCATTTTTTTTTTGGTTTCACCGAAAGCGGTTTTTGGATTTTGAATCTGTCTCTGCCTCCGATCTCCGATCTCGATCTCTCGCTGTGGATTGAGATGGAGAGCTTACCGACGACGGTGCCGGCGAAATCAGAACGGCGAGGAAGGCCGTCGAAGTCTCAACGCACCTCCAAGCCCTCCCTTGCTATGGCCTTCTTCTCTTGCCTCGCTTGGCTCTACGTCGCTGGTCGGTATGTCGATTTTTCCCCCCTTTTTCCGAGAAAATAATGAAATCTCAATGGTTTTCGATTTGTTCATCCATTATGTTACGTTTCGACCGGTATCGATTGTTGAAGTCGAGGAACGTATTTGTGATCGAACACTGTCCCTGCGTCCGATTGAATTCGATGTGTGCCCGTCCATAAATCTCGAAGGTTTAAGATACTTGCGATTTCTTTAGTTTCAGATCGTAGCCGTGATGTGATGTTTCGCTAGTTCTTCTTGTTGGAATTCAGTTTCAGCTGTTGTCCTATAGTTTATCAGTCACGGATTCAAATTGGAACCACGGAAGTTGTACTGATTATGTTGTTTTGATGGATTGGACTGGATCGAGTTTATTGTTCTAAGCTTTTTTAAGTTCTCTCCAATTCTCTGTCGTGCAAATGGCAGTTGCAGCATTTCGTGCTGATCTTAGTTTGGTGTTTGGTTTCTTACTGTCAGATTATGGCAAGATGCGGAGAACAGAGTGTTACTCAATAATCTGCTTAAGAAGAACTATGATCAGGTTAACCCTTGTGTTCTTTTGCAGTATTGTTTGTTTTCTGGTCTTGGGAAAATCATTTTGAGTAATTCGATGTTTTCTTCCATGTTGATCACTTTCTTGGAAGCAGAGACCTAAGATTCTCACTGTGGAAGACAAGTTGATGGTCCTAGGATGCCAGTAAGTTAATTTTTCTGATTGGTCTTCTGCTGTTTGCAACAATGGTCTTTTCTGTTGTGTTTGTACTAAACATGAATGCAACCATTACTAGAGATCTTGAGAGGAGAATTGTTGAAACTGAAATGGAGTTGACTCTAGCGAAGAGTCAAGGTTATCTTAAAGGCCAATTGCAGAAAAGTGGCTCATCTTCGAGGAAGAAATTGCTTGCTGTAATTGGAATGTATACAGGTTTCGGAAGCCGTTTGAAGCGCAATACCTTTAGAGGCTCTTGGATGCCGCAAGGTAGAGATCATTCACTGTGATTGGTTGTCTTAACATTAGTTTAATGAACATTTGGCACAAACAGTAATTTGTGAATAAAATTCCTTTTCATTCCGGTCTGTAGGTGATGCCTTAAGAAAACTTGAGGAGAGAGGAGTTGTCATACGTTTTGTGATTGGTCGGAGGTTCTCCCGCTCACTTTAGTCTTTACTTTTTCATCTCTCCTATAGTATCAAGCGCTTTCATCTTTCCTTCTTGACACTACCGAGTGGACAATAAAACATATTAATTTTCAAAAACTCCAGCCCAAACCGGGGTGATAGCTTGGATCGGAGCATCGACGAGGAAAATCGTGCTACTAAAGATTTTTTGATTCTTGTAGGTGATATAATTGAATTTTTTTTGTTCTGATCTCGTTCACTGGTTTGCATCTTTTTGGTTGCTTGCTTTTGTTATGAATGTGGTGTTTTTTTCCTTTTTAGTATCGCACACAATTATTGCTCACTGATGTGCCTTACAAATTTGATGGAATGAAATCAGGAGAATCACGAGGAGGCTCAAGAAGAGTTGCCCAAGAAAGCGAAGTTCTTCTTCAGTGCTGCTGTTCAGAATTGGGATGCAGAGTTTTATGTTAAAGTTGATGATAATATTGACCTAGAACTTGGTAATGCATCATTTTTCATGTGCTTATATTGCAAGGTTATGCTTGGTTCAGTCCTACATTACCAATATCTAATTTCAAATTTAACAGAGGGATTAATCGGACTCCTTGAAAGTCGCCGTGATCAAGACGGTGCTTACATCGGATGCATGAAATCTGGGGAAGTGGTGGCTGAGGAGTTAGTATTATACCCAGCTTTCTTTTAACTTACTTGTGTTTATCCTTAAATTGACAATTGTGCAAACTTATCGACAAGCACATATTTGATTTTTATCTCCTTGTCGGTTTCTTGGTTCTCAGGGGAAGACAATGGTATGAGCCGGATTGGTGGAAATTTGGAGATGAGAAATCGTAAGTGATTGAAAACTGTCAAGTTTCTTGGTTCCCTGGAAATATACCAAAATATCCTGTTCATTGGCTCAGGGTCAGGAGAACTAATGTCTGATACTAATAACCATATAAATTATCTTATACCATTTATTAGCCTTCTGGTTATTCATAAACGCCTGAATGGGAGATATAAGTGACGTAATGCAATGTGTTTGTCCTATGTTCTTTTATGTAACACGGACTCTCGTTTTTTTAAATGTTTAGGTACTTCCGCCATGCGGCTGGTTCGCTTTTGATACTCTCCAAGAATTTGGCGCAGTATATTTATATCAACAGGTTGGGTTCACACTTCACAGTTTTAATGCGGTATAAGCACAAGATTTACCTAAGATGAAAATCACCTTAAAATGGTGTTCTCTTGTCTACTCTCTTTTGTATATGAAACAGTGCATCCTTGAAGGCATACGCTCATGATGACACATCCATCGGCTCTTGGATGATCGGTGTTCACTCAACCTATATAGACGACAACCGCCTTTGCTGTAGCAGCATCCGACAAGGTGACCCATTTACCACCAAATCCTAAACATTCGCATAGAATTGTCGGTCACTGACCAACTAAAACTTAAAGGAACACTTCAAACTCGAAATGCATTTCACATTAGGACATGAATGATCAGAGGTAACGGAACACTTCAAACTCGAAATGCATATCACATCAGGACAATGAATTGTCAGGCACCACATCTGCTTTCTACTTTGATCTGCTTAGTAATTGATAAAAAAAAAACCCGTAGTAGTTGTGAATTATCGAAGCCTAACTCGGGTATTTCTCTTACTATTTGCTAGACAAGGTGTGTTCCGTGGCTTGATCAACGCGTTTGCTGATGGGCTTCGCCTTTGCGGGGAGAGACAACGGGCATTTTCCGAGCATTCTTGGATCCAAAGCGTAGACAGAGTTGCTATTCTTCTTTTGGTTAGAATCAGATGAGTGTTTTACTTGGTAGTAATTAATGTTTTGATTAGGGCAGGCATATACCCATATGACAATGAGGATTTAACCCTCAGCCGCTAAATATAGAGAGTGATGAGGACTTGGGGCTTGGGAGAAGAAGGTTGCATGCTTTTACTTGCTCTTTTTGTTCCCTTTCTTTTCTATGCCCTTTATAATTATCTTCACATAAACCTACTTACATATATACAAGTTCTTCTGCTAGAGATGATATATATATGTGGCCTTTATATTTTTCTATGATGGCAAATCTGGACCGTTGATTTGGTGAAAATGATCTGGAACATTCGATATGGAAAACGAATCTAGGTCGTCCTATGTACATAAACATTCCGAGACATTGATCATTCATGACATCTCATTCTCAACCGTCCGTAGAAAAGATTTGATTGATCGCCGAAATTAACCTGGACCGTCGATCGTGAGATTCAGTTGTATTTGGATCGTATGTTAGCTTCGACTGGGTTTGGATTTAGTTTTTATAACAATAAAAATGTTTATTTCGTAAAAGAAATTATGTTTTTTTAAGATTATTTTTACATTGGGTTCGGATTCCATTTGGATTTAGTTTTTGGATTATAAAAATATCATAACATTCAATATTTATATCGTTATACTTATACATATTATTCCGTTTAGACCAGCTGAGTTCGGGAATGACCAAACCGAATGCAAACCCCTGTGGCCTGTGAAGAATAAAAAGATTCTCTCTCGTACCAACTCGACAAGTTCGTAAGGTCATATATATATATACACACACACATACATAGCAGCAGTTCCATATACACTACACAGTTAATTACTTAAACATCCCCATTTCTACATCATCTTTTTTTTTTTATAATAAAGACCATCACGATACCCTCTTTTTTTTTTCCCCTTCAAATCCACAGAGGCAATCTCCAGGCTCATTCATAACGAATATAAGAAGAGAAAAAGAAGCACCGTTCAAGTTTCACCACCAAGCCCCGTGATCAAACAAACGCGTCAAGAAGAGTTCCGTGGAAGAAGCAGAAATACATTTCACCTTTCTTCGCTTATTCCGCCTTCTCCCTCTTTGTCTTCTCCGCTGTTCCGTGCTAAGACCCGAGGAATTATTCACGAAAAGAGCGAGCCGAGAGAGCAATTCTTTGAACCGTTCGGTCCCCCGGACATAAACTGAAACAATCCCCTCGTGACCGGTTGTGATATGTCCCTCTCTCTCTGGTGTAAAACTCGCAGGAACTCGTCCACGCTCAAGTTCCCGTCCCGGTTCGAATCGAACACGTAGAACGCGATCTCGATCACATTGTCTGACAATGATATGTCGCATACCTGGACACATTCCGTAGACGGATTCTTTCAGAGACCAAGAAAACATTCATATCCACAGCTGAGTGTTTTTTTTCTAAATTTATACGTATTCCACCTCCCCTTTCATAATTGATCAACTCACAATACGTAGAGAATAAGCTAACATTAAACCATAAAACCAAAACAAATGAAATTCCTAAAATGTGGGAGTCTAACAGAATATCTTAAATTGAACCAAAATATTGAATTCCTGACACAGAATTTCATTCCAACGTATCGAGAATGAGTTTAGATGACTCACATGAGAAGCAGCTCGTTTGAAGTCTTTCATTGTCAATAACCCATTGGCTTGCCCACACGCGAAAAGGGCCAGAGAAAACGGCCCGAGTTTTCTCCTTAACTCGGCAAACTGTTTGAAATCCTCCAGAGATATACGGATGTCCCGAAGATGTGGGTGGACGTGCAGTTCGTCAACTCGATCGAGCAGTTTGCTCAGGTGGCTCGCATCAGCGGCAGCAACCATTGACAATGCAAAATCTTTGGCCGATATGGTTCCTCTTCCTTTGTAATCATAATGTGCAAACTCCAGTCTGAGCATCTATAAAAATAGAGCCACAGGAGTTGTTTTTAAGAAAACGATTACCCAATTTTTGACAATAAATAAAGAACCTGATTGTGAAGCTAACTCTAAACCTAGTTTCTTAATCTTCCAACGTCACAGATAGCACCTAATACAACTGTTCTTAGTTGCCAAAACAGCAGAAAGTCCCTTTTCTTAATCAGCATATCATTACAGTTACAGATCAATCCTTCAACAAAGAAGATGCTTGCTAAACCATAATCACACTCCACAAACAACGGTAGGAGAAATCACAGCATCGGTATCATAAGGGTTGAGAATTACTTACTTCATCGGTTAGATCTCTCATAAATTGAACGAATTTGTCATGTTTGAGTTTTTGGTTGCCATCTTTTCCGAAGAAGTACTCTACCAAACCACCATTCTCGACAGAACCAGATACCTTAAATCCTGTGCGAAGACCGTCTCTGTGGAAAACTCCTTGTCTATGCTGAGATCGCATCAAACTCATTACTTTCTTGAATTCATCCTTGTCGATCTCCCTATATACAGATTGTTCATCAGGAACATCTCAAAGAACAATAATTTAAGAAAAGGGGAAGCACTGACCAGATGTTCTTTGATAGTTCAAGCACGTCTCAAAATGAGACGCCACCAATAGCATCAAACAAACTCTACAACCTTCTGTTTTAGGGTAGTGATACAGAAATGCACAGACCAGAGAACAAATAAAAGTTACCAAGAGTAAGATTGATCTTTCTGTAAACTTTGTGCAAGTACTCACCCGTTATTGTCGATATCAAACATTTTGAAAGCCACGGAAAAGCTCGATTCAGGCATGCTGAGTAATGTCACGAAAAATATGTACCTGTTGTCAACAAAACCGAGTTCTTCAATTTCCAGAACAAGAAGAAAACTGATGAAGACTACAAAGTGAACCAAACGATTTCTTCTCAGGAAAAACTCACTCTTTGAAAGATATAAGGCCATCATTGTCCACATCAAACAGCATGAAGAACTCGGAAGGAGAACATCGTAATTCTCCAGGATTCCTCTCCCCATTCAAATAACCCTCTCTTACCAGATGGGATTCTGATGGGGGAAACACAGGAACAACCGCCCTCATCAAATCTGCAGGTTTCATGAGCAATTCCCCGTCTGGTGTTCTAATGGATGCAAAGTACTCAAATACCTAATACCATTTCACAGCTAAATTACATTTTGCAATACCTCCATCTTTGCATTCCACTAAAATGGAGACTCACAAGAATTAGGGTTGCAGAATCATAAAACCGTGTACCTTTTCGGGCGGACTTTGCAATCTCAAACGCTTCTCGTAGTTGAAAAAGATTTTCCTCCTATAAGCATCTGTTCAAATCCAACCCAACAAAATGATTATAAAATCTTTCAAAAGGGAAAAAATCATCAATCGATGAAGCGAAAACGAAGGATGAAAAACCTCCGAGGATAAATCCAGAGCTGTAATCAGGCAACGCCAATTTCTGAAAGAACGATCTCGATCCAAGATCATCCGCCGTCGCTTCATCGTCTTCAGACGCCGACAAGAAGCCAGAGAAGGACAGAAACGTATTTTCACCGAACAAGCCAGAGCTCGAATCAGATTCATAGGAACGATACAGAGCCCCTAATCCGGAACCGGCGGCAATTCCGGTGATCCATTTAGCAAGGGAGCTGACGGAACCACCGCGCTTCGACCGGCCGGCGCGGGGAAGGACACTCGACGAAGAAGAGGATTCCGGCGGCGGCGGCGGCGACGACGACAGAGAAGCGAATCCGTGGATCTGAAGCCGTTGGATGAGGGGAAGGACACGGTCAACGGACGGTGGAGATCTTCTGCAGCAGGATAACGACGCGGGCATGATCAGACAATTTTTCAAAGTGATGACTTTGCAGATGCGACGAAAAAAAGGCGAAACTACCAGAGCTTTTAAAATGGGAAACTGAAGACCGAAAACCTCGTCGTTCTATTATGCGAGTTCAGGAAACGACGCCGTTTTCGGAGGGGATTAACCGGAAAATTCGCTCTAATTTTAGCCTGGTCCCGGTTAACAGGTCAAATTAGTTCTCGTAATTTTAATTTTAGATTAGAAAAATGCCCTTATAATCATAGAAAATTTTTATAAATAATTTTACCCAGTTTTAAGTTTGATTTTTTGTTTTATTTTTATGTTTTTCATAGCAAACCGAAGGAGAATAAACAACATCTATAATAAAATGATCGGTTTAGTTTGGTTAAATGTAATGTAATAGAGAAAAAGTGTATAATCTTTTCGATTCGTTGTTTTTTTTCTTCCGGTATGATTCGATTTTATTGATTAATTTCATGTATTGGTCAATTTTTTAAAATAATTTATAACAAAGAACCAAATAAAATCAGACAAGCAAACTCTAATCTCTAAAAAAAGACAGAGAGAGAATATTTCAAAATTGGTGAAATGAGAACAAAGGGAAAACATCTCCGCATGGAAATTCAATCAAAAGACAGAAACCAACAAAGCTATAATGTCTCTATGGACCTTCTTTGTTCCTCTGCTCAACCACCACCATCTCAATTGTTGGATCATGATGACGTCATCGTCAAGTCCATCTCAATTGTTGGATCATGATGACGTCATTGTAATTACATGGACAAATGGAAATATGAAAATAATCGGAAAATCAATTTAAAAAATCACAATTTTACGGTTGGAACGTTTTGTATACCAACGAAACCGCCCTTTCATCATATATATATATATATATAAACATATACGCATTATCGAAAATCAAAATCTTAGATTTAATTATATTATACAATTAGTAAAAAAACATTTAAATCAGGATAAATCAAGGATTCAGGAAGGCCTTTACGGCCAAAAAAAAAGTCTCAGTAGTTTGTCCTAATTCCCTAACAACAATTCCTACTCCTCTTTGACTACAAAGAATACAAAAAAATAAAAAACAATAACAATAGAGAATGGTAACAGACGAGAGAGAGAGAGAGAGAGAGAGAGAGACCTTACAAATGCACCTGAGATGTGATCTCTCCAGTCTATAACATACGAGGAAGCTACACATTAGCTCGTGCCGTACAATGTCTCCGTACAGGCATCATCTTCCGGAGGTGTCGTGTTCAGATCTGGTAGTAAGAACAAACCTCCCTCGCAACATCCAGTTTTGCCCCCTCTGCATCCATCTGAAACGGCTTCTTCTCCTTCTTCTTCGACAAGACAATTCTCGTGTTTTCGCGGGTAGAGATCCGATTTGCTGACCGGATAATGTTGGATGGCGGGTCTAGCACAATCCGAGTTCAAATCGAGCTGCAATAGGCAGACGAAAAGCTTCTGATTCAGTTGAAAATGGCAGCGAGAATCAAGCATCTGAACTGACTCAACATCCAAAAACAGGGAGTCACCTTGATCCGCTTCAAGTTCTCATTCCTTGCGCTTTGTTCCGTTATAGTGGTTCTCATAGTCGCTATCTCCTGTTGAACGACGATTTATATCAGAACGACGCAACGTGAAGGAATCCGAAAAACACAACCGAAGCTTCCGAGAGAAACAGGGGAAAGAAAGACAGAGAGAACACGCACATTCTCCAGACTGAATCTTTCCTTCAACAGGAAGGTTTCTTCGTGTTTAAGTTCCGAAAACGTCTGCAAGATCATCGGGAGGAGAGGGAAAAGAAGTAAGCTTTAGAAGGCATTGAAATACCCACATGGGAAATAAATCACAATCAGAGGATCGAGTATTACCTTCGTTTTCTTCGATCTATTGGAGAGGGAACTGGTGATTTCATTCGCCGGTAGAGCCTGCAAATTGACAAGAAGAAGCACGCGCATTCGTCAGCATAAGCTACCAATTACAGAGATTATGCATGGCTTTGAACATGGAAACTTTTCTTCTTTTTCGTATAGAGAGAGAAAGTCAAATTTTCAGGGCGCCATAAAAGCGACCCAAAAAGAAGAAACCCATCTAAAAAGCATGTGATAATAATGAAAGATCTCATCTCAAAATCTAAAAAAAAAACGTATCTTTAGTTGAAAACAATTTGGCAAATGTTTACCAAAGGGTTATGTCAAATTCTATCGGCTCGGCTGATACATAAATGCACGCCACATCATTTGATTGGCAAGCACCATCACATTCACGTGACACCACCATCATCATCCCAATCAGATCACGTGACCCACTCTATCGTCTCCGACAAGATCTATCCCCTAAGCCCAAAACGACAACGTTTTCAGCTCGTGCCGTACAGCATACGCGCACATTAACCCACGATCTCTGTAGACTCTATACCATAAACATCACTGTCCCCGCAAAACCCCCCATAATCTATGGGCTCTTCAATATTCGCCTATATATATACACATACATACATACACATAGATATATTCGGAAATATACAGATCCACCGAAAATATTCCCACAATAATTATTCTATATATAAAACCATCTCTAACAGCGGACCCACAAAAATTATAAGCGGGTTAAATTTTATAGTGACGTCAAATTTAATTTTATTAGGGGGTTATTCAACAATTTTGTCTAACTATTTATAAATTTTATAAAGATTTTTTTAAGAAAAAATTAAAAGAATGGATAACCAAACAGATCAGCAGAGGTAAACCAAATTCACCGCAAACCCGGTTTACGAAAACCACCGGTTCGGCTTGGACAGTCACGGAGATTAGGTAACCGAGGAAGAGATCCGATTGTGCGGTGATTGGAGGAAATAGCATGATGTCATTTGCACGTGAAATGACGAAAATACGCTCGGATTTGTTGAATGAAAAACCAAATCCAAACAGAATAAGGTAAAAGAAAGAGAGTATTGACCCTATGTGATATGGATTCGTCCTTTTTCCTTCAGAAGACGAAAGATGACAGAAAATTCCCCGCGGCAGATTCCACCGGTACTCAAGGGTGGTGAAGCGCGTTTCACCGGCGGCGAAACGTTACTTTTCCGGTGATATGGAGAATTGTAATCAGAAAAAGGAAAAAGGGGAATTCGGCCAAAAGTACCGAGACCGGGAAAACTGTCAGCGGATGGATCGAGAATCGCCGTACGGAGAAGCCTATTTTCGGGATTTCAGGAGGAAAAGGGGGACAATTACGAACGCGTGAACGACGTGGACAACCCGGTTACCGGCCAGATCGGAACGGAAATGACGGATTTGCCCCGTCAGCATCTGACGTAAGGGAACTCCCCGAGGAGCCAGAGAGAGTAAGTCTGAGGCCGTTACCACGCGCGTCTCCGCCGCGTGCTGACCGGACGATAGGGAAGACAACCGGGAGATAGAGAGAGAGCTAGGGGATGGAGAAGGTACCTTGGATCCAGATCCTGTTGCAGATGTGGAGCAGCTCGCTTGACGGCTGGTCTCCTCGAAACCATCGGCGGAGCAACCTCCGCTTCTGGATCCACCGCTCCACGACAGCGGAGTCACGGGACTGCCTCTGACGGAGTCCGCCTCTTTCTTCACCGAACATCCGGCGAATCTCGAGGACCGCGACCGCCGCTGACGAACACCCCAACGTGAAGGAGGAAGGAGCAGAGGCTGACTATCCGCCGTCATCGTCTTTGCCTGGTTGAGCCGTAACAGAAGCTCCACCACCATCTGGTTGTCCGTCATCGCCGCTGTTACCCAGTCGTCCTTCGCCACCACCATCTCCGCAGAGGAAGCCTTGGTCATCGACGTCACTCTCCTCGAATCTTCAGCTAACGTAGATGAGAATTCGGAATACAGCTTTATCAAAAAAAAAAAAATACAGACGCGGCGAGAGAGAGAGAGAGAGTGGGAGTTGAAAAGTCGGAAAGAGAGGAGAAAGAGATGGTGTTATATACGAGGCTTCTTGCTTTCTTTTTGTTTATTTATTTTATATTTCTGATTTTGTTTTCAAATATGGAATCATTATAAATTGTAAAACTGGTCTTTTGTAGTGTATGGCAGATTCGGATTTCGTGCATTTTCCCCATTTTTTAAAATTATTTAATATAAAATCAATGACAGCTTCGGGGAAAGCCCGACTTCTGAGCTTTTCTTAAGCCCAAAACCCAACCTCGATGGACGTCCAAAGAAACTCGTGTTTAAACGATCCACACCAATCCTTAAAGCTAGGTGTGTCAATTTGGGACCGAGGTCTCACACCCAATCCGGTCCAATTCGAAAATTAACAGACTTCAGATTAGGTCTGAAAAAATCGGACTTTTGAACCGGATTTGAATCGGATTTCGAATTCGAATCCGACCGGTCCAAAAAATCTGATATTTAAAAAAATAAGATTTACAAAAAGATTTATGCGGACAGGTCCATCCCAATCCGATCTGAATCCCGATCCATCCCGGCCTGATTCGAACCCGATATATATAGACCCGAAAAAATCGGACGAACCCGAATCCAAATGGCCCAATTGACAGCTCTACTTGAAGTTGGCATGGTTTTCCATTTTGACAGTGTAACTTTGTAGATCATTAAGGGTCTAGAGGACATGAGGAATGCATACCGTATGCTTTGTTCATCTTTGTTCTCTGGTTATAAAATAGAGCAACTTTGACTCTTCAGACGTTCCATATAGAGAGAGTGGGAGAAGACCGTTCCAAAAGAAGATTGTTGGGTTTGTGTTCGAATCTCTCTTCCATGGTTTCAAAAAGATGTATGACCGTGTTCCGATCATTCAAAGCAAAAGACTGATGAAGTCGTCCTCTTGAGAAGATGCTAATGCACAAGTCAAAAGTAGAAAACCAAAGGAAATTCAAAAGTAAAGCCTAACATTTCCATTGTTTACAGATAATAAGGAAGACGATACAGGATGAGATACTGGCGAGGGGTACAGAAACCTAAACAGAGCTTCGTCTTCACCAAACTACGCAGATCCCTTTCGCTTTCGCACCTAAATTACACCCACACATTCTCACTTATAACTAAACCCTAAGAAACCCCAAAGAAAAGAGACAATCCATAGCCTATGCACAAAGCAAACACTAGCCAATACTAACTCTGAAACTAAATTTCTATCTTCCCCTTGAAAAAATAAGGGAAGATTCGAAACACGTTCGAGTGTCGTCACCGGAAGTTTCATCATCCACCGGTCTTCAGGAGCTATCAGACGATCGTAGATAGGAAGCACGGCGGCAGAGATGTGACATAAGATCACCGAATACTTCATCTAATATGATCGGAGAGGGGGCTTGTCAGATCTCCAGACGAAGGATCCTGATCAGATCGTTAGTCGCGTCGCCGGCTTTGAACATGGAGACGCTTTTCTTCGTGAAGGCCGGAAGCGGGACATCGCTTGGAGGCGGAGAGGTCAACGTGACAGAACCGGCGTAGAACGAGGCCGGAATCGATTTCGCGTCGGAGAGACGGATCTGTGTCGGCACATTCTCTGGATCTGGTCCGATCCGGCGAGTAGTTCCCAGATCTGAATCCTCAACCGCCAGATCCGTTACCGTCTTGGCAACTACCTCGCCGCGCTTGAGGATTCTTATCTGTCCGACAACCAGATGGTTGCTGTTGTTGTTGTTGTTGTTGTTGTTGTGGATCTTCTTCTTCAAACCCTTCGGTACGACACCGTTTACCACATGAGGCGGTAGAGGATGAGCCGCCGGAGGAGGACTCCCGGCCAGAGGGCGTGGCGGACTTCGGCGACGGCGGTTGTTTGGTTGCGGCTTCGTCTGCTTGTTGGGGCAAGCTTTAGGGTTACGAGGATATTTCCCATGAGGAAACAAGGGATTTCTGGAGAAAGGGCCCTTCAGGACATCATGAGAATGAAGAACAGCTACTCCCATAGCTACAGAGGAGAAAGAATCGATTCAGAAACCAAAACCGATCAGGCCGAGAACGAGAAATTATTTTCTCGGGAAAAGGGGAAATCCTGGGAAAGAATGGGAAAGAAAAATTTGTGGTGAGAAAATGAAGAGGATGAGGGTTTATTTTATAGGAGAGCCAGCGTCGGTGAAGGAGCGAGGCAGTTTCTTACCATTGCCGCTCCTCTTACCTGAACTACACGCGCTCCTTCAATTATTTTTAAATTCCCTTTATTTTCCGTTAAAATAAAAAATATTTTAGTAAAAAAATATTTTTTTTTATAAATAGTAAACAAATAAATTGTTGATTTCTGTGTGTTATTTCAATTATAATGATCTCTGTAACAATTAGTAGAAAACGTTTTTTTTCCTCAATGCTTCTATCTCATAATAAATTTTAATGCATTTACGGATTTTTTAAGGATTTCCTTAATTTTATATCATAAAATACTCTAATGATCATGGTTTCATATTTTATTTGTTCCATATATTCTATTTTTGTTAGTCAAGTTGCTTGCTGGTCCATGTGAATGTCCCCGCCTTATTAGTTATACATCATTAAATAATTCATTATACAATTATTGAAATAATTGAATATAAAAAGTTAGTATTTCAGGACCGTATCCAAGCAAAAAATCTTGAGGTCGGCCTTAGCTTTCATGATTACACACGTTCACTGTGACGCGCAATAATAGATGGACAACTGTTAATAATAATAATAATAATAATAATAAATATGTTTTTAGGTTAAATTTAAATTCATAAATGCTTTTTGTATTTTAAATTTATACGAAATAGAAAAGGAGAAAAGAAAGGCGCGTGAGGTAAAGAGCGTTATTGTGGACCCCATCCTCTTTTGTCTGACGTACCTACACTAACCACCCTTTTTTTCTTCTTATTTACAGAAATACCAACCACAATCTGGAAAAAAAATATCTTCCTAATATATAAAAAAAGGTATTTCTTTCCTAAAACCTAATATTCATTCCATTTATTGACAAAAGTAAAGTAAAAACATCTCTGACAGATAAATAAAAAAGGTGATATGTTTTATAAAAATTATTTTTCCAATTGCTTTAGTTAATAAATCCTTTGGCGATTAAATGATTTAATTGACGAAACGCTAATGCGAGTGTGTGAAAATGGAACTATTTCCTTTTTCTTGTTTATCTTGTTCTAGTTTCTAAAACGTATAAAATTATTAAAGATATTATCAAATTTTGTGGATTTAAAATAATAATATTGATTATATTTGATTTTTAATAAATTTGTAAAATATAGATAAACTATTATTGAATATTCAATTAGTATTATAAACTTGTATAACTCTTATTTAATAATGTCACAAATTTTGTTAAGTTTGCAGTATTTTAAATTATTATGAATTTCAATCATTTTTTAGTAATTGATATATTTTCAAAGAATTTGATAAATTTTTAACGAGTTTTCTCCTTTTTTTTTAATGTATATTTTTCTCGGTTGGGCTGTGATGGTAAATAAGCGCAAGAAAGAAGGGTACATATGGAAATGGAAAACGAGACGTGGTCCACATGTTGGAGGACAGCTAGATCATTGAAAAATTGACACGTGGCGAAATGAAGAAGACGTGCGAGCGAGGAAACGGTCAAGTCAACCGACTCAAGATTGGCCGGCCGCTTTCCTGTGACGTGCCCTCACAAACATTGAAATCTAACATCTTTTAAATTTTTCATTTAATTTTTTTATTTAAGGAGAAAAAAGGTGGCGTGTTAGAAGATTGTCTGGTTGTGTATATAAAATATTACACAAAATTATCAAGATTAAAAAAATTTCGTTGAACTTGGTAATTTAATTACAAATTAAACAGATGACCATGTTTTTTTAATGGGCCTAAAATAAAAAAGCCCCATCTATAATGGGCTTAGAATTAACAAACTCAATTTAATGGGCCTATGGGCCTTTAAGCACATTTATTGTAATGAAGTTTTTATGCGGAGAAATAAAATTTAATCCTAACAATTTGAACCGTACAAACAATACTATTATTTTCCGGTAATAAAACTTAAAAAAATCTCGTAAAAAAAACGCCAATTACGTAAAATATGTAAAAAAAAAATATCATGAACTTTTAATTTCAACGGCGTTAACAACTGTATAATAATTGGATTTAATTTTTCTGAATATAATATTCTTGCATCAGATCACTACGGTGATAGAAAAATTTTCTCTCCTTAGAGAAAATTGTTTTGAAATCGAACCACGTCAGACTCTAAACTCTACATTCAATTTATAGAATTTGTATTTCTAGTTTTATCTATAAAAGATTAGAAATTATAGAATGATGTCTTCACATTAATATATATACTTTTACCGATACATGATTTCGGTTAGGATGTCAAAATAGATCCGTTTTGAAGGCTGAGTTCCAAACCAATCCATATTTTTCTAAACCGATCTCAAAAAATTTAAACTCGAAAAGAAAAAAAAAAGAGCAAACAACCTCGACGACTCTACGAGGTGACCCATGAACAAGAAAAAATATATTACTTTTTATATTTTTTATATTTTAAATTGTTTATAATAGTTATTTATCTTGTTTTGTTTAATTTCTTAATTTTTTCTTGTTTTATAATATTTTAAATATTTTTTAGTATTTAAATTTTATTTTTTAAATATATTTGGCCACGAATCGGTTCGTTTGATTTGTGACCAAATAATTTTTAGCTCATCAAAAAATGGTCTCGACCAAATTCGAAAAATCTAAGATCGAGACAGATCAACCCGATTTACAACCCTAATTTGGTCCCAAAAGTTATTAAGACCACATAATTGATCGAATTGAAGATTAGTTTTTTCTTCTGTACACGGGTTTTGACGTACGGTATTCCACACAAAATTATTGAACATTTGACATTAGTATCGTATCATAGTTACTGATAATGTTGATCGTTGAGTTGGTTAGTATTAATCAGTTATGCGCATCCGTGGACTAATCATTAGTTCGAGGAGGTACCGGTTAAGACAGTGGTATACCAGAACATTTTCCGGTTTCATAGCCGGTTACCTTGTGGTTTTCGTTAAATGAAATTGAAAAAAAAAATATTCGGTTTGATTAATACGAATTGCCCACCCCTCTCCAAATGACAGGGAAAGGTGAAGATATCAAATCCAACCATATTTTTTTCTACTACCCTTTTAGTTTTGAAGACCAAAGATTGTACGTATGCTACAACTGACGTGACTTTGGATAACAAGGTCACATATACAGCCAATATAGAAAACCCTTAACACTAACATGATATTATATCAAAAACACCTTAAATTTGCTATTTTAACTTCATCGCATACACTTTCCTACTTTAACATTAGCACATACCTGTGAAAATTTTGATCTTATTGATCATAACTAACTTTAAATTTATGATGACCACACTAATCTATTTATAAATAATAGATTCAATATATGACCACACTATATTTCGGGTCACATGAATTACAGTATATGTTAAAATCAAAATAGTAAAGTAAAAATATTTTTGATAATGCCCCACTAACATACTCCCTCTCCCTTAGGATCTGTCCTAAACTAGCAACTGCCATTTTTCGATTCAATGTCCTATTGCCGCAAAAACCATAATCAGCCAAGCAGAGCCATATAACTACTGCTTCAAAAGATCATTTCGACAAACCCTACTGATCATCTGTCGGAAACCCTGAGTTCCAGACATTTCTGTCATGAACTTGAACTGCACCACGCTTCCTAAGAACCAGTAGCTATGTCCAAATCTCAACCATAAACGAAGCTCATAGCAGTATCCGAAACATCCTTCTCACTCACAAACGTTTCATACCCAGAAGCTGGAAGATGCTGAAAATCACTTCCATATCTTTCAAATCTCACATACAATGCTATAACATAATGCTTTCAAGGGGGGAAATTTTGGTAAATACCAATCATAAGAGATTTGTCTTACAGAAATACCAAAATGAGCACAATGCTAGATTCATGAAACAGGTAAAAACACTTTAACCATCATCAAATCAAGACACAAAAAGAAAAACTGAGAGCCATACAGTGAGGTGACCTCTTAGAATCCGAGCTTGGTTCTGCGCCAGTGCCTACGCTTCGCGTTGTACCTGAAACGAAAAAAGACCAAAATCTCGAAGCATTACGACATCGAACACGACACGAATTTACGCTTACTGTCAATCACTGATTTGCCCCAATCGAACAGACGCATGCGTACGGACCTGATGGTGTTGTCGGTACGAAGGCGGATCCAGTGAGGAATCGGCCTGTTCTGCCTCATCTTCTTCGCCAGCTTCTTCTTTATCCTGAACGTCTTGTGCGAAGGCTGTTCATTTCCAGATCAATCACCACAGAGAACCAAAAAATCGTAATTTCGCTCAGTTTCATAAGAATCTTCACAAGAAATTTCGCAGAACCAGTGACTAAAAGAGCAAGAGAGAGAGTTGATTTACCATCTTGGAGTCGGTCGGTCGATTGGCGCCGGGGCTACGGACGAAGCTCGTGCAGAAAGAAACCCTAAACAGAGAGGTAACCCTAGGCGAGGGGAGATTGGGTCATTTATATGGAGAGACGAATTTAGGGTTTGAACTGTTGGGCCAAGGCCCATCGTGTAAGAAATATACATTACCCAACAAGTAGAAGAAAAAGCACAAAAATAAAATAAATAAATATATAAGTACATAAAAAATACATAAATAAAATTGTTAAAACAACAATAAATATAAATAAACACATTACTTTTATATAAATACACCAGCATTTTTGAATGGTGGTGTATTTAACTAAAATGTCCTTAAAATAAAAATTAAGGAAATTTAACTAAAATAATCACACCATTATATCACGGTTAAATATCTATAGTTAAAAAAATAAAGAAGTTAAATCTATAATTTGAAAAAATGTTATTGAAAGTATAATATATTTTAACGTTGTTACTTTTCTGTATCCAATAACATTCTAAAGCCTTGTGTATGAATACGAAGATTTAAAATAGTTGTTATATTTTTCCGATAGGAAAACAAAATTACGTATTTATTTAGCAATTTTAATAATATTGTGTATTTTTATGCTAATTATATTTGAAAAGAAGAGAGATCTTCAACGTTTTAAGAGGAAAAAACCCCACCTTTCATATATAAACAAGTATAATCAAACTTCCAAACAAGAATAATGACAAGAATATAACGACAGTGACAAAATCAAACACTGCGAACCAAATCCTTGACGCCTACGTTCGAGTCCTTAGGATCAGCGGAAGCAGGAGGAGGACGTGGAAGTCTTTGCCTTCCGTCCGAAGAAGAAGAACGGGGAGGAGGAGGATTAGTGTTGCCGGCCGACATTGATCGGATATGCGAAGGATGATTCTTCTCGGAGGAAGAAGAAGACGAAGACAAAGGGCCGGATCGGCTTCTCAGCCTCTTCTTATGCTTCTTCTTCTTCTCTGCCTCCGGGTCTCGTCCTACCCGTCGGACTTTCGCCTCGTTCAAGCTTGCCGGTAGCACGCAGTTGCATAGCATCCCTACGGTTCATACCACAAGCCAGGACAATAGATTCAAACGCATTCTGGGGTATGTTAGATGCTTACTTATTCAGAGATGAATCTGACAAGGGTGTGGCCGTATACACGTTTATATATCTACGTACTTTCCATAAGGCGAAATCCAGTGAAAAGCTTCGAAAAAACTACTGTTTCCTACACTTTTTGCTTAACCCTTTCGGACCGAGACAGTAACCATTCCTTTAATCAACCACATATATATATTGATCGGGGAATTGCGTACCTAAGCGGGCGAGGCGGTTGACCCAGCTAGGGATCTGTTTCTGGGTAAGTTTGAGGCATACGTCGTTGCAGAAGTGGTTGCAGTTCCTCCTGATGAGGTTGTACTTGTTTCCACGGTACTCCTCGGCCAGTTTCTCCATGAAGGCACGGACTTCTTTCGGCCCCATGTCCGTCTTACCCACCAGAATCGATTTCCTGTATGTAAAACCCGGGCATTTCTTCGGCTCCACTTCAAAGATTCCCGTGCTCGAATGCTCGTGCGCTCCAAAAGCGTATTCAACTCCATGAACTGCAAACATCCAATGACGAATCCATGGATATAACACACACACACACAACACACACACATATATATGCTCAAGAAACTATGGTCATGCGTCACAGAACAATTCATTCAGTCTCGGAGATTTTTCAGACAAGATTTCCGACCAAGCAAGCAAACAAACGCAAAGTCTCTACACTGAAACCATCTAAAAATCGAATCTTGGAACTTAGCATCGTCCTCAGCTTCCAGCACATTCATTCGCACAAAAGCTTTTTCACCTCGTCAATTTTCAGCGGGAGGACCGAAGTCAACTTTGGTCTAAGCTCCAGATTCTTTTCACATTTTATTTTCTTCAGTTAATCCGAAACCACTAGTACTAAATTCATGTCCACAACAAAAACGTGTCTTCGTAAATCATTTTCTAGGCCGAAATTTTCTCAGATCCTCCATTACTTTCTCACCAACCAAACAGCAGAGCAGAGCAGAGAGAGTGGAAGAGTTTCCCCATTTACTGGAAAGAGAGCAGGAAAACCCAATTTTCTCTCTCTCTTCCTCTTTCACCTCCGTGCTCTCTGGCAACCCAATAAGACAACAGATTCAAGAAGCGAAAACCCTTTTTATTTTCCCTGAATTCCCCTCATTTTCTCAGCAACCAAACAGAACAAAACCCAGGAATAAATCGACCCAATAACAAGGAAAACTGACCCGCAACGCCAGAATGGTAGATCCCGAGGCCGAACCAGTAAGCGTAGACATTCATGGGGGTGAGATCGTAGACATTGAGGTAAACCGGAACTGAACCGGATTTCTTCTTCCGGCCCACGGACACGCTTCTGCACAGCATCTTCCGGAGTTGATTTACCATCTTGGAGTCGGTCGGTCGATTGGCGCCGGGGCTACGGACGAAGCTCGTGCAGAAAGAAACCCTAAACAGAGAGGTAACCCTAGGCGAGGGGAGATTGGGTCATTTATATGGAGAGACGAATTTAGGGTTTGAACTGTTGGGCCAAGGCCCATCGTGTAAGAAATATACATTACCCAACAAGTAGAAGAAAAAGCACAAAAATAAAATAAATAAATATATAAGTACATAAAAAATACATAAATAAAATTGTTAAAACAACAATAAATATAAATAAACACATTACTTTTATATAAATACACCAGCATTTTTGAATGGTGGTGTATTTAACTAAAATGTCCTTAAAATAAAAATTAAGGAAATTTAACTAAAATAATCACACCATTATATCACGGTTAAATATCTATAGTTAAAAAAATAAAGAAGTTAAATCTATAATTTGAAAAAATGTTATTGAAAGAACGGGATCCGGGAGGGGCAGATCGGGAAATTCAGATCGAGCTTTCGTCTTCTTCTTCGGCCTTTGTGGATCATGAGATGGGGAATTGGGTGCGTGAAGAAGAAGAAGAAGCGTTAGTTCTCTCTTTCCGTTTATGTTAATTCACTGTAACAAAAAATAAATAAAGAAAAATAATTAATTAAATGTGTTGAGAGATAGAAAGAAAACGGTGTCTTGTCTTGAATGGGATGGGACCGTCCAATAGATCTCGAGATTGGATTTGGTCCACAATTTTTAATGTTTGGAGTTGAGGATTCTGACGAAGACAATGTTCACGTTTGTGTTTGTGTACTCGTGTTTATATAATATATACAAACAAAAGAATATCCAAAGTTTGTATCTTTTAATTATTATATATATTTTATTTAAAATTGAAAAACTCATATAAAAGTATATTAAATAGAAAAACTTTAAAAAAAAAAAACAACATTTTCAATTCGAATTAAAAACAAATCGAACCATCAAAAAGCTTATAATTAGAAAATAAAAAACTTCAAAATTAAATTAAATATTGATAAATGGGCCATTCTATATGGAAAAGGCCCAATTTCTCTCTCTCTCTCTCTCTCTTTCTTTTGGTTAACAAAAATATAAACGTTGGAGGGGGAGCAAGTAACCTGAGCCCTAAAATGGTGATACACATGAAAGCCTCCATTGCTGGTCTACGACGAGCTCTGCAAAGAACTCGCCTTTCTTCTCATCTGTCGAAAACCCTAATTTCGGGGCCGCGTTGTAAATCTCTGGTACCCATACGAGACGACGCCTCAAGGTTCCAATCGAAGCTCTACGCGACGATCGCGGCCGCGGAATCTCCCTTCAGATCCAACATTCTTAGAATCATCCGCAACGAGATCGCGTACCAATCCGATTATGCTCCCCCACATCAGGTATTTTCTAATATCGGTTTCAATTTATCTCTGGAAAATGAAGAATGCAGTGGCTATTGAAAACACTGTTAGCTTTCGTTTCAAATGGAGTAGAGGTAAAGGCTCATCTGGTTCGTTTAGTATCTGTTTGGTTGTCTGGATAGTGAAGTGACTCGAACGCATAGGGAATATCAGGCTCATTCTGTTGGTACTCAGATTCTGAATTCGTCTTTCAATTCTCATTTACTGGGAAGAAAGATGGTGAAAGACAGAGAAGTTTGATTAGATAATTCGCTGTTAAACGTTACGGTTTACTGCCGGTTGAATCAGTGTAGTCGAATTCGTCGAATTGGGTTTCTGTTTCTGTCTCGAATCCAAGCTAATGGGAATACACTAATCTATTGCCTATGCATCAAACCCTAATGCAGCCTGCTACTGAATTCAAGTCTTTCACTGTAGAGGATCATCCGGGCGAGCAATGGATAACGATGAGGGGAAAGTTTGGAGAAGATGAGCAGATAAAAATGGAGGCGACGATGTTTGATGGGTATGTGAATACCACGAGGCTTGGATTAGATGCTTCAGGACACGACGTCCGCCTCCACATCAGCTTGCTTGTCGACATTTCAAAGGGCGACGGAAGCAAAGAGATTGAGTTCGTATGTTCGGTCTGGCCTAATCGTATTGAAATTCAGAAGCTTTACATGCTTCGACGCAACAAAGTCAGGGGTCGACCATATATGGGGCCTGATTTCAGGTATGAGTTTTTCATGAGATGTACTCCTATTGCTAGTCAGGGATGTGAAGTCAGGGGTCGAACATAAGCTAGGGTTTTTGTCTCGTTGATTTCAGGAGCTCGAAGAACGAGTTTTGGATGGCGTTTCGGGAATTTTTACGAGTAAGAGGGATAGATTCGGAACTTGCGGGTTTCTTGCACGAATATATGATGAACAAGGATAGGATTGAGCTCATCCAATGGTTGAGAAACCTCGAATCATTCGTCAAGAAATGAACAATGAAGCTCCGTTCTCTTTTTTTTTTTGAAAAAAAAAATAATCTAAGCCCTCGTACTCGTTTGTTCATGGCTTTTGCATGCATAATACGTAGACTGTACATGGCAAAATGTCCGTACACATAACGGGTATATCCCTATTGTATCCGCCACCGCCAATGTGGTGGTGGAACTGTGGTGAATCTCGCATTGAAACTGGATTCCCACAGCCACAGGAGGAAATAAGCTTAGTTAAATTCAGTATATAATATAAACTGTTAGCTCCTACGGTGATCATTTCCGGTTCGGTTATTCAAAACCGAATTAATTTGAACCGAGTGAAATGTATAATTGTGTTTTAACCGTATTTGATCATGATTCCTTTTTAAAAAGTGAAAATTTTGAATTTAAATTGATATAGAAATTAGGGGTGTATGTTTCAGGATCCGGTTTAGAATTTTAGCGGTTTGGTTCGGGAACGGTTTATTCGTTATGCTAAAATCTGTATCAAATTAGTATCGTATATTATTCGGTCTCGTTACGGTTCGGTTTCGGTTTTTCTTTAAAAAATTAGATTTTTTAAGAAAAATTCGGTTTTCCAAAAATTTTATAAAATTTGGTTTGGTTCAATTTGATTTCAACAAATTCGATTCTATAAAAATCAATGTTTGAAAATTTTGAATGGTACGGGTTGTAAAAAATAGTGAGATTTTTGGTTTGATCTCGAAAACCAAATCAAAATGCGAACCCCGAAAAGAAATAGCAAAAAAATAAAAAAGATTTTTTATTAAAATGAAATTTTTTATCGATAAAATCAAATTCCATATCAATCCCATATAAATATAATTGGTTGAAAAATTACTATATAAGCACGCAACGAGAATTTTCAAACACGGTAAAATATCAAGGATAAACCAAAACATCATTCGTGGAAATACAAATACATATATCCAAATTCAACATTAATTCAATGATGCCAAGCGTTTTTTTTTTTGGTCTAGTGATAGTTAATGATATTACACCCATTGTTGTTGTTGTTGTCGTCGTCTCCTTCAATCCAACATAAAGACTCTTTCTCCATCTTTGGTGGCTTCATCTCCATCAGCTTCTTCCATTTTCACGTCAGCATCTCCTCCTCCACTAGTTCCTGCAACATTAACAGTATCCTCTGCGACAGCTTCCGACAAGTTCAGATCAACAAGACAAGCAACAACATTGCTTCTCCCTGGTTTCAACTCTTCTTCGCTTGTGTCCTTCACCTCAACATTATCTTCTTCTGTTCTTCCATCATCATCATCATCATCTGCTACTACATCTGCCTTCACATCTTCCGTAGATTCGGGTTTCGATTCACCAGATGGTGCGGCGGAGAGGATCCTGTTAACGTTATCGTTGATGGATTCAAGAGCCCGGAAATTCTCCCTTAGCCTTCGGCTCACTGGTTTGTTGTTTATGAATGTTTCTACCGATTCACGAGCATTCTCATCGACAGTTTTGCACATCTGGGAAGACAGAGAAAGATAGCGAGAGATGGGGGAACATTCTCATCGACAGCTCGGATATTATGATTTCGCAAACCATGAGAGAGAAAAGGCAGATGATTACCTGGTTGAAATGTTGGGCAAGTTCTTGACGCTCGAGGTTGTCAACAGAAGCTGCTGAAATTTCATCCGATGCTGCAGCACATGATGAAGAGCACTCTCAGTTAGATCCAAGCTTATGAACCGACGATAAAAGATGAAATTTCTAACCATTGGTTATTTCAGAAATTTGTGAACATACAGATCAGTTCAATCTTAGGCAGTTCACCAAGAATTTCTGCGTCAGCCTCTACAAAGCTTGGTCCGGCTGTTTCTGTGGCCCTTGGTTCATTTTCTGGTTCTTCACCAGGCACTGATGGTGGCACTACACCCTGTAATGAAAAAAAAATTATTGATAACGATGAGCACAAAAGAAATTGGACTGAAATTATCTGTTCTGCTTTTAGACAATCTCACGATACATACATAATACTCGTCCGCATATTCCAAATTCAACGCCCTTTCGAGGAGCAACACCCGCTTTTTCACAAACTCGACCAATCTTCTCTGCATGTCTCTGTAGATAAGCATTGAACTTCCTTGGCCCCCATCATATGAAGCACTGTTATTGTGGGCTTCGGAATTGGAGTTGCCACTACCGTTCTGTCCCTGATAGCCTGCTTGTTCAGCGGCTGCCAAATTTGCAAAAGGAAGATTCAGTTCTTTGCAGATAAGCTCTTGAATCCCCAATTCCTTGTCATCGACAATAGCTTGCCATCTTCCATATCCATGCCTAACGGTTCATTAAAGAGAAATGAGAAGAATTGTCATCAAGTAGCAGAAAAAGAGAGGGAGACAAAAGGAAAAAATATATAACTCGGTGAAAATTCTGTCAGACCAATGGGTGAACAGGTGCATACTTTAAAACAGCACGGAGCATTATCTTGTCATGCTCCTCCTTCCAGACTTTTCCGGGTATTCTCAGTCCGGGGAATTGTTCCAGAATGCGGTCAGAGAAAATTGGTTTTGTTGGATGGTCTTCCGTAAATTTCACCTGTCACGTCGAATAATTGAGCCTAAGAAACAAAAGTCACAACCAAAACGGTAGTTTCTGTACAAAGGCAGTTTCCCTCTAATTGTGTGCTAAGAATGAGAAACACTGAAAATGTAGCAGACTCTTGCTAAGCATAATGCCACAAGAACCAAGAACGTAAAAAAAATCTAAATATGTGATTTCTAAATCAGTTTTGAACTTGAGATCCTTGGTCCAATCAAAAACTCCGGCACCATTGAGCAAAACAACCGAGCCTTGCTAAATGATACAAGATTTACTATGCTTACATCTTTACCGGCTACAGCTCTGATAAGAGGTGAAAATTTTCTACGTCATCTAAACTCAACGTCCAACCGAACATCAGAAGTCAGATACAAAGACCCAAGAAACATGTCATAACACAATGCATTAATTAGCAAAAGGCAAAACAAACCATCTCAAAGCAACTAACAAAAAAAAAAAAAGGAATTGCATTCAAGGATTGCAACCAATAGACTTTACCTTCTCCTGTATCAGTCCCAGAATAGCAATTCTGACAAGCACATCTTCAATTCTCAGTCCTTCCTTGGGTACACCATCTATAGCAAAAGATATTTGCAGTAAGCTCTTTAATAGGTTAGCAAGAGAATTAACATTCGTTTTAGAGAACAACAGCAAATAGATGACAAAATTTAGTTATCATCAATCACCTGAAAAGGTTGGAGAGCTTTCATCAATATCTTCAACAATGTGCTTCAAGAAAAGCGTTCCATATCTGAGAAACCAATAAAGTTGGTGAAAAATTATGCATCATTCAAAAGAAAAAACAATGAAAATACACAGTGGTATAGATTTTTACAGAAGCTGAAAAAAAGAGCAAATGAGGTTAAGTCATACTCTTTTATTTCCTCATATGTCTTCTGCTTTAAGCGGGGAACAAACTCTTTCCAATCACAGTTACCAATTCCGTACCTGCAAACCAATCATCCGTGACAGGCAGAAACAAGGGAACATGTGGACAAAAGCAAAAAGAAAAAAGGATTATTTTCCCAGATCGGGGACCCTTCGAAGAGTTTAGATGGCATAAGATATTTTGCCCAAAAGGAGAGATTTTTAAGAAGATAACCTCATCAGCGTCTTAACAAAAACGGCCCTTTGACTTTGGTTAAAACCCAACACCCTGAAAGATCTTCCTTCACCTTCCATCAAAGGAGTTGGCTCAGAATTGTCTGCAACAAAAGACTTTTCACATTAATCCGGCATGCTCTAGAAATCCATCAATTTCCTCACTTGAGGAAAAAAAAAAGAAGAAATAGTACCGCGGGCTCTTCTTCTGTAAGGCCTTCTACCAGAGGGATTTCCTTGTCCAGCTGTTTCACCGTCTGTTAACTCGGTTTCATAACATTCATCCTCTCCATCAGAGCTCACATCTTCGAAACCAGCAAGATCATCTTCTTCAATGGGTACCATCTAAGAAAAATAGCAGAATGTAACCAAAATCATGAAACTATAACAGGCAAAGCAAAAACAATGTAACGGGAATAATTGAAAACATTCAGGCAAATAGGGAACAATATCACATAATTCTTGAAACGGGGCAGAGAATAATGTTGGTTATGTATGCCTCTATTCGCCACAAGCTATCAAGAATCCAACACTATTCTAGTCGATTGATGGAAAAGTCATATAAATTCCTTACACATGAACTCAAACCTCATATGCCCAATCAAAGTGCCCAATAAAGTTGAAGAAAGCAAAATTAGGAATCGCATAAGGCAGTCACATGGTGGACATCAAACAATTGGAAATGCATTACCTTATCCATAGAATAGAAGGGAAAGGGTATAAATCGTATAAAATCCAGACATCAATATGATGCCAAAATTGGATAGGTTGAAACAAGAACATAATACCTGCTTGCGACTTCTCTTCCTCTTTCCAAGAGAATTGAGTTCCTCATCTCGGTGCACCTCATATTTGTCTTTTAACAATTCTTCCCAATAACTTGTTCTATCAGAATTGCCTATCGAAGTTTTGCTTTCTGCAGCCAATCTCTCTGCTTCTTGTGCTGCAGCATCGCTTTCGTCTATGTACTCAAAATTTGCCACCTAAAATACAGGAATTGACACCAAGAAGCTCAGAAGGGAAACTTTTCATAGAGAACCGATGTCATTAGATGCCTATATTAACACAATACCAGAAAATGTTTAAGGCATTCAAATAGCCATCTCTCAGATGCTATTTCCCATAGTAGAAACTATTTTATCTGTGCCATAAGCAACCTTGCCTATTCCCCGTTCAATATTACCACCACAATAACATCAGGTTTCAAAGAGCTGGAAAGAATATCAAGGGTTTGGATTTGGCAGAATCATTACTCATCTAGACTTGCTAGGTAACCAGTTGACAAGATTGTGCAGATTAGAGAAAAAACCAGCAGGCAGCAATCAACTCTGGTCCTGTGGTATCTAGTAAGACTATTAATCATGCCATCAACTAAAGCATATAAAAGAAGCAACACTGATCTAGAGAGAAACCAGTGCAAAAGCAAGAAAGAGAAATAAAGAAGACCTTGAAAGCCTTCAAGAATCCATTTTCCTCTTCATCATCCATTGAAGCCTCCTCAGCATCTACGTGATCCCGGTCAAGTAACCTGCACAACAGACGATGAACGCAAAGAATGAATATTCCATGCAAACAATCACAAAAACTTGAAAAAATAGTTCTTAAAAAAGGGACAAAAATAGTATATTACTTGTCTATAGCAGCATCATCATAATGAATCTTTCCAGACTTCCCTGCTTCATCATTCTCGTCAGCAAACAACTCCTTTGAACCATACCTGATGATGTCATCTAACTCTTCCTAAATTGCAGCCAAATCAAGAAAATGATAAGAAAGTCAGCATCAATTTAAACTAAGCAAATCAATAGACTTAACAAATCTTCCACGGTTTTTCCATCTTTTAGTTGCACTCTGTTAAAGTTGTCTTATGGTGCTCCTAACTTTGCCTTGCAATCTGTTGTCGAATAGGTAAATCATGTGAGAAAACCTAAATTCAAGTAACAAACCGTACCTGATTAATGTTTTGTGTTTTAAGTTTCCCAACAACAAGATGCTCTAGAACCATTTTCTTCTTAGTCATTTGCATCATCCTTTCTTCAATGGTACCTCGAGTTATGAGCCTGTAAATCATCACCTAAAAGCCAAAAATACATGCTAAACTAGTTACAAAAAAAAAGGGCAACATAATGAAAGTACAAGCAGGCTAACACAGATGCCATGAAAGATGGGCTACAACCTTATTTGTCTGGCCAAGTCGATGAGCTCTAGCCATAGCCTGGAGGTCAGCATGAGGGTTCCAGTCACTATAGAAGCAGAAAGAAAACATTTCAACATCAAAATCGCCTTAATCCCAAGTTTATTTAGGGACGGCCGCATGAATTCTTCGTTTTCACTCATTTCGGTTTTGAGTTAGTTCTTTCGAAAGAGCTAACTCAATGTGAATAAATATAAACTGAGGGCGCACATGTCTGTCAGTCAAGCCAAAGCTGATGCATCTAACTCAGCCCTCGGATCACATTTCATGTTGAAATATCTTTTTATCCTAAAACACTTGACACATACAACTAATTTGCAATTTTAATTTAGACTTCCCAGAAACTATCCATGTTCATTCTAGGAACAAAATGCCAAATAGCTGTTATCGCTCATCACCAAGGACTTCATTTCAAGCGTTCAAATATCTTAAAACTCCACTTCGGATTTCTAAATTACCATGCCGTCAAGGCTTAACCTTCTACGAAAATTTGATAATGTGACCACAAAAGTATAGGCCAACACAAAAAGAGGGTGAAATTCATACCTGTCATAAATGATAACTGTATCAGCTGTTGCAAGGTTTATTCCTAAGCCACCAGCTCTTGTGGAGAGCAAAAAACAGAATCTGTTAGAATTTTTGGCATTAAACCGATCTATACGTATCTGCCGCTCTGCTCCGCCAACCTTTCCATCAATCCGTTCATAAAGCCAATTCTGACAAAAAAAGAAACAAATGCCAAATGCATGTCAATGATTTTGTGAACCGTGCATCAAGAAAATACAATAGAAAGTTATAAAATCGAGTAGTCTCTGATGCATGCAGTAATGGTCCCAACAGTAATGTTAATGGCATTTTAAAAATTATGGAAGTGGAGGGAGGTTACACTGCAGATTAACTGCACCGACTAAACAAGTCACTAATTCGATACTTTCATGCCAAATAATAATTCTACTGCAAGTCTGCAAGCAAGCAGGAAAATATCCTGAATTACGAAGTACAAATAACAAATATAGATACCTTATAAGTACAGTAATCTTCAAGTAAGTCAAGCATGTGCTGAAACTGCGTGTATATGAGAACTCTGTGTCCTTGTTCTTTCAGTTTGACCATCATCTTATCTAACAGTTGCAGTTTTCCCGAAGATTCCAAGAGTTGTCTTGAAAAAAGAAACAATAAGCCAAAAGTTTGCAAATGGTTTAGCGATTATAGTAGTATAAGACAATGGACATAAAATAACACATACGACTTTAGTGTCCCCATCGGAAACTAAATTTACCTGTAAGCTTCATTTGGATCTTCAATATTTGGGTCTACACCTTCCAGCATATAAGGATGACAGCAAAGTTTCCTTAACTCCATCACCACATTAATAAGAGAAATCTGAAAGAGTTGAGACAACATGTTTAGCCTTGCAATTACAGCTAACAGGTTCATTATCCCCATATGAAATATATGCATCTGTGTAAGTACAAGGAAGTTCAACAAAACTTACTTGAGCGCCTCCTTTTCTAGTCAATACTTGATAATTACGCGTAAGAATTGCTTTGTAATATTCTTTCTGCTGACTACTCAAATCAACACGTAAAATGAGCTCCTTCTTAGGGGGCATGTCCTTCATCACATCTTTCTTCACCCCTTCATCAGAGATCAAAACATGATACACCACAGTAAGCATAAGAAAAGCAATGACATACCCAAAGTTTGATAGAAAATGCACATCGAAAACAGAAATCTGGTTAATACTTCTGAGCAGATGCGGAGCCAACATTTTGTGCAGTCTTGAAATCTGCTCCTCTTGATTGATATCCTTGAACTCCTCCTGGAACTCCTCAAGACTGACAAACTGCAAGCATTGAAGAAATTAATGAAAATATGCATGTGCAGAAACCACTTTTCAGTATACTTATCTCATTTCAGCTGCTTGTCCCCGGGCTAACCTTTCCAGCATCAAGAAAATGCATGAGCATGAAGAGTTCATCCAAGTTGTTCTGGAAACACACCAGATAATTATTAGTGATGTACAGGATCATTGGTGGCATAATAAACGGTTCGTGCATGAAGAGTGCCATAAAAAAAGAGCAGCGCACAAGGACATTTCTAGATAACAGGTAAACCACAGAAAGGGAAGATATTGAACCAGAAGTGTCCAATCAAAATCAATTTTTCAAAAAAACAAACAAGAGACCATCACATAACAAAGCCATCAAATAGATGCATTTATTGATTGCTCTGACACTTTCTAAAGCTCTGCATATACACTAAGAGAGTGTGTTCTTCTAAAGATAGTCAATCGTTTGATCGATGTATTGCTGAAACAATTGTGGCACTGATGCCACCAATTAAAAGCCTCATCCAAGTTTCAATGACAGTATAAAATACGCATTTAAGTTTGTGGTTTACCTCTTTTCAGAAAGGAAAGTCTTATGGATGAAAAAAACCATTAAAATCGGGAAAAAAAGGCAAATTTAAGATCCGAAAGTTTTAAATCAGGAACCAAATTGTTAGTACTTAGTGCATACCTAAAATAGGAGAAAATACAAATAAAACGAAACCCAAACCAAGTTAGTGAACTAAGGCATACTTTTATGCAGGAAAATATGAGGCAGATCTCATTTCCAATTCGCAGCTCCAATGGTCAGATTCAGCAGATAATGGAAAAATAAAGAATATATCAAACAACGGACCTGAAGAGGTGTTCCTGTCAAAAGAACACGATGGTTACTTGCATATTGCTTCAAGGAAGAGAACAATTTGGAATCCTTATTTTTCAGTCGATGGCCTTCATCAACAATCTGAAAAAGAAAAAAAGAATACTTGGTTACATTTAAGGGTGTTTGTGTCAGAGAGAGAAAGATAGAAGAGAAAGTAATGTTTAGGCCATAAAGAGTTACCATGCACTCCCACTTAATTGGTTTTAGAACTGCTGTGTCTAGGTTGATCATCTCATATGATGTGAGCAGGACATCAAATTTGATTCTGTCTTGCTTGGTTTCACCACTGATTTGACCAGATTTCTTTTTCTTGATCTTCTGATGACCTTTCGGGAAGTAAAACTCATGCTCTCTTATAATAGCACGAGCTTGGGCAGCGCCAAAATACATAACCTGCATATCATAAAACCAAAAATGTTATTCCATTAACCAAATGAACAAATGCTACATAACCAGCATGTCATAAAACCAAAAATGCTCTCATAAACCAATGAACATATGTCACAAAGTGTGAGCACAACAATGCTTACATACCACATTCATATGTGGGGCCCATGTGGCAAATTCTCTCTCCCAGTTTCGCAGAGTCGACAGGGGAGCCACTACCAAATGTGGGGCGAGGTTTTCTTCAAAGAGCGATGCTAAAAAGGCAATACTTTGAATTGTTTTGCCTGGGACAGGAAAAAGCTCAATCTTATTAGCTCTACAGAATAATGGAAAAAAAAAAAAGCCTTAGATGAACAGATCGACCAGTAAGGATGGGATAACTGATGACTTGCCTAAGCCCATCTCATCGGCAAGGATTACATGTGTTTGCTTCAACCATGAAAACCGCAAAAAATTCAGTCCCTCAAGTTGGTATGGGTGCAATGATCCTTCAATAACAGGGAAGAAAAAATCAGTGTCAAATCAAGTATGTGGGGAAAATCGATAATAGCAATTGTCATGAAGTATAAGAGTTTAAAGAATTCAAATACCTCTGAGAAATACAGGGCTATGATCAAACTGCTGAAATTCTTTAGGATTACTCTTATGCTCAACCTCTTTAACTCTCCGAGACCTGGAGTTAATATCATTAAACCTTTGAATCTCGTTCTGGAAGGCTGAGATGTCTGATTCTGATTCCCAATAACATTCGTCATAAGAAAGTTCTTTGTACTTAACAAGATATTCCTTCTCATCATCTTCTCCTCTGCATCATCAACGAAACGATACAAACATTTTGTCAAAATGAAAACCATCGAGCAAAACCGAAATGAATGGAAAAGAAGAATTCATGCGGCCAACCCAAATAAACTTGGGATTAAGGCGATGTTGTTGTTGTTGTTGTTGTGAAAACCATCGAGCAAACCCAGATGTCATATTATCTTAACTTTCTCGAGCATTAAATGACAAGCTAAACCTAGCACTAATGGCAATAGTGGTATCTGCAAAAGTATAAACTAGCCAAACCAACATGATACCTGATCAAGAAGCAACTACATCAAAGACAACCTTTCAAAGGAAAAAATGACAGCAAGTGGGTTATTTTCTATGTTCCTGAAAACATAGATAGAGCCGAATATATAGGCTCCTACAAGAAGCAACTCAAACTAAGAATATGTTTTAAATATAATTGTACTCAGAAGCAACTCTATAAGAGACGTCCGTTTCTCTAAGAAAATAGGACTACGGTATAAAACATCAATAAATATGAATAACAAAATGAAGTTTTCTATCACAAAACCTGCGTGCAATAATGCGGTCAACAGTGGTCCACTCAGGACGAATAGCAACAAAATCATCTTCATTATTATTGGCTGATGCCATTTGACGGTGAAAATTGTTCACCCTGGTCCTTAAACGAGGATTTGACTTGTAAGCCCTCTGAAATTCCTGCTCAGGTACCCTATTATTTGCAACAAGGAAAGACGAAAATAAAACAATCCGCTTGTTAACAACTAACAACAAAATTACACTTTCACACATAAAGAAAAATAAAGAACAATTACCAAGTACAGTGCAGGTACGATAATCCTTTCCACTTCACAAGATATTGTTTCACAAAAATTTGCTTCGGTGCTGCAGTGGAGGAATCCTGATCATCATTAGGTACAGTAGGACGCACTTCACAGTCCAACATCTTCTCCATCTCACTAAGAGGACTAACCTGCATATACAAACTTATTCGTGGTAATTGGCATGTAAAGAAGTCAGCACAGTGTGCTTAGAACACAAATATGGGCTGACAATGAAATCTTACGCATTCAGGGCATCTCCAATTTTCAGGAGCAGGACCTTTCACCGGTGGAACTAAGCATTTAGCATGGTATGCATAAGTGCATGTGTTGCAGCTTATAAGATTTGCACTTTCTCCACAAGCCTGGCATGCATTTTCTTTCTGTATATCAAGAAAACCAAAAAAAATAAAATGAAAAAGATGACAAAATGAAGAGGCAGAACTGTCACCAGTAGACGTGCTTACATACTTTACAACAAATTCTCTCATCCACATATCATGCCTCTACCAGAATGAAGTCTAAAATCGCAAAAACTGAAAAAAATAGGGAAACGAACCGCGTCAGCTCTGACTATCGCCTCAACTTGCTCCAATGTTCGATCTTTTTTTGGAACAAAGTCATCATCATCTGAATCGTCTAAGTTATAAATTGGTCTCCTATCTGTTCTCAAACGAAGTCTCTCAACCAAGCTACTCATTTCTGTAATAAAAAAAAACACAACAAACGTGTCTTGTATCAAAAATTTGGAAAGCACATGTACAATTGGCATTACATTCAGATAGCTTAAAAAAAGAATAAAGACAGAATTACCACAAAGAAAAAGAAAAAAAACTATACGTACACAAATCGATAGCTGGAGTAATTTAAACTTTAAAGAGACTTTCAAACCTCAAATCAGACCAACATAAACATATGTTCTATTAGGATATGCTATTTACAACTAGAAGTAAATGTTCCGAACTAACAACATGAGCTTGTGAACACGGCTAAAAACAAATCTGATCTGATGAATGTGCACTCAGATAGATAGATATTTCCAGCATATTTCTGGTGCAAAAATTTATCACAACAACAAACTATGAATAACTAGACAAACAATCAATTCTGAGATTTACTATTCTAAAAATACTTGTGATCTGATCTGATCTGATCATAAACAACATACTGATCCTTCATCTTCATGTAAATATCGTAAGAACAAAAGCTGAAGTCAAATGATCTAAAAGAGAGAGGAAAAAGTTTGTGCCAACTATAATAGCAGAACTCGAATATCTATGAAAGTAACAGGACGATCAGAATCATCAGATTAGCCAATCACGAACACAAGAGCAAACAACACTCTCCACTTCTCTCATCTTCACATTTTCAGCTTATGACCTATAACTCAGAGAGCAAATCCAAAGAATCCAATAAGCCCTTGAATGCCTAAACCTTTCTGATCTTAAAACAGAGAACGGGCGAAAACAAATTATTCAAAAGGAACCCCAAGAGGAGAAATTGAACTCGAATACAGAGTAAACAAAAATGTCTGTCGAATTCCAATGCAAATCGAAACGAACAGATGAAGGAAACCAAAAGCAGTAAAACTTACTTGGGTCAGCGTAGCTAACACCCTTCAATGGAAAGTTATGATTATCGTCCTTCTCCAAATCACCTGACCGGAAACAAGAGAGAAAAAAAAAAGGTACTAGAGTTCCATCGAAATTAGCCACGATTTCACATCAAAACAACCCTAAGCACTCGGAATAAAGGAACCCCATCTCAGAGAAACACGTGAACTGGACCAGAAATCAAATTTACACGAGGATTACCTTGAAGAAGAAGGCCGGAGCTCAAGCTCGAGTCGGAGCTGAGGCGAGGGGGAGCGAGAACAAAGAGCAGCTGGCGGGACTGAGGGTTTCGATGTTGATCCAAAAGATTCGCCCTTTTCTCGTCGCGAATTCCAAACCCAAATCTCGTCAAATCTCAAGCTCGAAATCCACCAAAACCCACCAGCAATGTCGATTGGGGAAATGCTGGTTTATGAGAAAAAGTAGTCTTGGCCCTAAGCAACCACCCTTTTTGTCCGTTGTGTTTTTACATTCAATACGCAGTTAAATTCATCTTGTGCACAAGAACAAAAATTCTCTCTGGAAAAAATTGATATTTTAAATCTTACTTTTTTAAAAACAATAATGCAAAATATCATATTTTTAAAAATTAGCGTTTAGCTATAAAATTATAGAATTTAACAAAACTTTTTTAAAATATATTAATGCATTTATGTGAAGAATTCATAATGAAGTTTTCAACGTATAATATTTTTAACAATAAAGATTGTTAATTTATATCAACAGTTCTTATTTTAAAAAAACGGCATTTTAAATATTAGCCTTTGTTTAAAAAAAAAACTGACTTCTTTGTATTATTGAGGGTGTTAGGTTATTTGATGTCTACAAACAATTTATAATTGTCTTACAAAACATTTAAATTAATAATCATTCATTTTGAAAGAACGATGTGAAAGAATAACATGAATTATAAATTTTTATAGTTTAATTATAAACAAATAAAAATTGAACAAAACCTCACCTAAGATAATAGATAGATTATTTATCTATTCTTATATTCATGTGGTCTTTCTTTTCATTTTATTAGTGGGCTAATTAATGATTTTTCTAATTTTTTAATTTTTTTATTTTCTTATATTCATGAGGTCATTTTTTTGTAGTTTTTTTTGTTAGTAACCGTTTATTTCATATTCATTAATCAAATTTATGTAGCTAACAAATTATTAAATGATAAATTAAAAATAATTACAAACATCATATAGATAATAATGTGGATGAATATGTGTCCTGTCATCACCATATACAGTTTCGGTCTTTTCACGGAGACCGCTACCGCTATGCTCAAGAACATGTGAACAACAGTGGCCTATCAGTTTTATGCTCTCGATTGAGCAAATCGACTCTGAAACGGAAGATTCGTTCGGAAAACGTTGGAGCCGAAACACCATGGTTATGTTCCTAGCCAAGCTACCAACGACTGAGGAAGAACATACCCAACACCGATTTTGGAGAACATTTTGTCCATGACCAGTCAATGAAACCCGACTCTTTATACAACACAACACCAAATCGAATATCTCTTTATATCTGAGAATTGTTGAGCCCTAATCGTTACCATGATAATCTCTTTCCAAAACTAAAATAGAAACAATATACATATACGAATACATATGTATGCATATACGTACATACATATATATATATAGATAGTAGAGAATGAGAGAAACCATCCGAGCATGATGAATCTAATGTCGGGAGATCGAGCTACGAGGAGCAACTGATGATGCCGCCGCAATCTCACCAGTTGGACTTGAGGAGTTATTTTCACAGGAGGTAATATATTTCGATCGCAAAAAACATAAAACAAACGAAAAGCAATTGTGGGCTTCCTCTTATGACCAAAAAAACCCTAAGACTTACACAGTGATGAAGAAGACATCGAATTTCGACGGGCAATACATGCAGATACGGAGATTAAGTGAAGCAAAAAAACGATATACCAGAAGAAGATGAAGACGAAGATGAAGACGATGATGAAAGCGGTGGCTGGAGAAGACGAAGTAGCCGGAGTCAGAGCCTTAGTCGGAGCATCTTCGTCGGCGAAGGGGAGAAGAGAGAAAACATTTGAGAAACGGTCCATCGTCAATTTGATTTATTTGATTGCGACCTAAATTTGCTTTGATATTGTTATTTTTTCTAGAAAATTATAAGAATATTTTTTGTTTTATGTTTTTTTTCAGGGAAAGGCAAAAATTGGAGTTTATATAGTGGAGACACATTATCACCTAGTGGTATTAATAATGTACGTTTCGAATCGGAATACAAAACTATATTTCTTCAACAGTATAATAATTGTATTTAATCATCCACATTAAATGTTTAAACGAAACCAAAAGATGAAAAGAAAACCCTAACGTTTGACTTGTTGAGGAGTTTTCCACCCCCCCTCAAAGACCTTCATAGGTTAGGGGTGGGCGTTTTGGATTTCGGTTCGGTATTCAAGCGGTTCGGTTCGGGAACGGTATTTTCGGTTTTATAAAAAGTGTACCAAACTAGAACCGAATGTTAAACGGTTCAGTTCAGTTCGGTTTTAGTATCGGTTCGGTTCGGAACGGTACCATTATATGAATACCAAATAAGTACCGAACTATACTATTTACACATATATTAGTGGAATATTGGAATTTTGGTTCGGTATTCATACGGTTCGGTTCGGTATTCATACGGTTCGATTCGGGAACGGTTCATTCGGTTCCATAAAAAGTGTATCAAATTAGAACCAAACGTTATTCGGTTCGGTTCGGTATGGTTCAGTTTCGGGACGGATCGGGTCGGTACTAAATTCCCGAACCGAAATGCTCACCCCAAGGTTACAGTGAAATTATGCTAATTAATACTCACCACTTAAAAGTAATGACCACCAATATATGCACGTTTTTGTTTTCAAGGTAATAGATAGTTTTGGGTTCTAAATCTTCAAGGTAAAATTTTATTCTATTAAATATATGTTACATATTATATTGCTTTCCATTTATTATCATAATAATTATGGTTAACTAATGAATATTGTTGTCCGTTTTTTTATTTTTATGAGTGGTTACTGAATACTATTTAACTTTTGATAATTTTTCTATATTTTTTAATTAACATTGATAAATATTTCATTTATCATAGTTAACATATAAAATAAAGATGAACTGTTTTATTTTTTAAAATTGATAATAAGATATTAATATTTTCATTTTTGTATCTTTAGAAATATTTAAAATTTGAATATATGTATAGTCAAATAAAAATTTAATAATATATTAATCTAAAAACAATTTAGGTTTTTATATAAAGATTATAAACAAAGATTTTGAATGATTAAGAAAATAAAAATACCCCTACCTAATTTATATAAAGATTATAAACAAAGATTTTGAATAGTTAATAAAAAAATTTGTCACATGGATGATGAGGTGGATCCTATGTATCCTCACCAAATCTCTTTAAACATCTTTATTAATATATATAGATTCGTTAAATGATTAACATTGTGTAAATGAAGAGTATAGATCTATCTTAAAAAATTCCATTTTCTCAAGTGAAGAAAATAAAAAATAATGAAGTTTGAAGGGATTTTTATTAATAATTTCCAATCATCTTTCAAGCTTTCATAGCTCAGTTGGTTAGAGCACCCGTTTAGTAAGCGGGAGGTCTTGAGTTCGACTCTCAATGAAAGCATAATTACCTTCCGAAAATAAAACTTGACCTCTTAAATTTTATTTTAAATATTAATTTGGCACCTTTTTTTTTATAAATTTCTAAAATTTCCATCGGAAAATTCTCGAAGGACCTGGCCTACGGCCGAAGCCCCGTTCTACCATCTTCTTTGCCTCTTCTCCAAGCTTCGTAAAACCCTCTTCCCTCCTGCCTCATCATCATCACCACCGACCACCATAATTAACTTCTTTGAAAAACCGTAGCCCACTAATCCCTCTCCGTTTCAGCTCACATGGCGTCTAGGAGACTATCTAAGTCTGCTTTGGCAGCCATTCAAGCACGCAAAGCTCCCCCGAGTCTCTCTTCCCTCGCCGCTACTTCTCGCGCTATCTCGGGTTCTTCTCATAGCTCGGCTTTATCGCAGCCATTTCCGGCGAAGGTCTTGATCCGATTCTCCAGAAACGGCGTCGCTTTGGCCAGTTCCGCCGCCGTCGCCCGAGGCCTGATCCCTCCACACCCGTTCCATTTCTCTTCTACGCGTCGCATCTCGTCCGCGAGTGCTTCTCAGGTTCGTATTCAATGATGCGAAGCTTTGAATCACTCGATTTTAGTGGAAGATTTGCAGTTTTTCTTTGTTTTTCGTTTACTTCCTCCATGCCACGGAAAAATTAACCAAAGAACCAAACAGTAAACCCGTTGTCAGAGGCGTTCTTGTCGAAAAGTTAACTGAATTACAAAATTCAAGTATTTTATTTTCTAAAATCGAAATCTGTGTATTTGTAGGATGTTGGGTATGTTACATGTATTGATTTGGTAATTTTGGTCGAGCTCGTGGAATATGAGGCAGTTTTCCCAGTTTAAGACATGATTATACTTTTGTTATGCTCCTCTTCTTCCCCAACGTTCCTCATTCTGCGCGGTTGCTCTCTGTAGGCCAATCAAAATGATTACACTGAGATGGCTTGGGAAGGAATTGTCAATGCCCTTGATGCAGCTCGTGTTTCAAAACAGCAAATTGTGGAATCTGAACACTTGATGAAAGCTCTTCTGGAGCAAAGAGATGGCTTAGCCAGGCGAATATTTGCAAAGGCAGGGATTGACAATACCTCTGTCCTGCAGGCTACTGACGACTTCATATCTAGACAACCAAAGGTTTGGTGGCTAACTTGCATTATGCATCTGCTTGTGTTTTCTGGCTTCCCCTTGTCTTTTTTTTTTTCACTGGCCATCTTGAATCGACATGACATCATGTACTGGGCAGGTTACTGGTGATACTAGTGGTCAAATACTAGGGTCATCTCTTAGTAATATATTGGAAAATGCGCGGAAGCATAAGAAAGAGATGGGAGATAGTTTTGTGTCAGTTGAACACCTTCTGTTGGCATTCTATTCAGATAAAAGGTTTGGACAAGAATTATTCAAGAATCTGCAACTTAATGAGAAAGCTCTAAAGGATTCTATTCAAGCTGTCCGTGGAAGTCAAAGAGTAACTGATCAAAGTAAGTGTTATGTTGCATGCAATGCATGCACTTCAGTTATAGTTTACTTTATAAACTTTGACTGCACTTTGGGGGCGGGGGGAAGGATTTTGACATGTGCTAGTTGAAGACTATGAGCCATGATTTACTCGACCAATAAATCGGATGTGTTTCTATTTGGTTTCAACTTTCCAACTTCATATTTGTAAATTTTTCGAACCAATGCTCTTGTTCCTGTACTCAGCCTAATATCTGGTTGGTTGTAATGTTATCCTACCTCCTCTGTGGCTATTGTTATTCCAATTCGTATCTCCTCATCATGTTATGCAATCTCATGCAGACCCTGAAGGAAAGTATGACGCACTTGAAAAGTATGGAAATGATTTAACTGAGATGGCCAGACGCGGAAAACTCGATCCTGTCATTGGCAGGGATGATGAAATCCGGCGCTGCATCCAAATATTATGCAGGAGAACAAAAAACAATCCTGTAATTATCGGTGAACCGGGTGTTGGGAAAACCGCAATTGCAGAAGGGTAACCCTTGCTATCTTATCCTTTCCTTTTCTTTTATTTTATAATATAACTTTTATAGGCACAAAAAATTACTATGAAAATCTTAACATTTTCAGATTGGCCCAGCGGATTGTTCGAGGGGATGTCCCTGAACCTCTCATGAATCGAAAGGTTTGCTTTTGTGTTCACACTTTTATTTCTTGTGCTTTTTGTGTTGTTTGTTTTACTGCGTGTTTGTTTTTCCTGTTCAAAATGGGAGAGGAAGATGCTTAATATGCTGTGTGTTTGTGTCATCATGTAGTTGATATCTCTTGACATGGGTTCGCTGCTCGCTGGTGCCAAATTTCGTGGAGACTTTGAAGAAAGGTTAAAAGCAGTCCTGAAGGAAGTCACTGCTTCAAATGGACAGATTATCTTGTTTATCGATGAAATCCACACTGTTGTTGGTGCAGGTCTCTGGCTATTCATTTTCTTGTATAGTAATAACTTGGATGCTTTTATGCGTGGAAACACAAATGTTTGGCCCACCGAAGCAAGTGAAGTTGTACAGTTAACGAAATTAAGATTAAAGGGCTTTATAGCTATGATCTTTTTAGGGGCGAATTCGGTTCTAAATTGCTGAGCATTAGCATTGAGGAATGGTAAAATTGGAGATGGACAGAGAAATGGTTGCCAGGATCGGGATGGGTCTCAATCTGTTAAGCTTGCCTGTGGTACCCTGTTCCTGACTCACCATATTCTTGTTAGGATGAAAGAGTTGACATGGAGTGGATATTGCTTGCTTTTCTCGTGTAGG